TCCGCGGCAACGCCAACACGCTGCGGGTGCGGGACTGCCGCGGCTGCACCGTGCTCTGCGGGCCCGTCTCCACCTCCGTGCTGGTGGACGGCTGCAGGGATTGCGTGCTGGCGCTGGCCTGCCAGCAGCTCCGCACCCACCGCACCCGCCGCTGCCGCTTCTACGTGCAGGTGACCAGCCGAGCCGTGATCGAGGGCTGCGCGGAGGTCTCCTTTGCCCCTTACACCTGGAGCTACCCTGGTATCGAGGGAGATTTCGAGTCTTCTGGGCTGGATAAAAACAAGAACAGCTGGAACGTGGTGGATGACTTTGACTGGCTGGCGACTGACCAGCCCTCGCCCAACTGGAGTGTGATCCCCGAGCAGGAAAGAATCGGATGCTGGGACTGACTGCAGGGACAGGCAGTTCGTTGCTGACCAAGAGACCCTGGTGCAAACGCATTGATTCATAAACTGTGGGACTTCATCCCCAACATGCCATTAAATGATTCATTTCATTCTTTAAATTGTGAGTTACAGTGTATGACTGGATTTTTAAATCTACAAATACCAGTCAAATATAGTTTACTTTTCTTACACGAGTTGCTGCTATAATCTCTATCACTGTGGAATTTGCCACCTGCTACAGTACCTTATTGGGGCACAAGCAACAGTGATTAGAGCTGTTGTGCTGCCTTTGCTCATGCAGGCAGAATCTGAGTTGGCTGCAAGTAGTACAAACTGTACTGGAATGACAGGATTAAATACAATTTTTTTCACGTTTTTGTGGTTCTCAAGTTGCAGGCAACAGTACACTGTATCTTATAGGGAGTATGGCACAGGACTTCTGTGAAGGAATGCATACAAAAGGTTAATTTAAAGGAGGAGTTTGTAGCTGAACAATGTAGGGAGACTGAGGTGAATCCTAAGCTTGAGCCAGCTGATGTGGGTGAAATTTGTAAAGTCTTTACTTAGGCTTTTATTTCAAGTGAGAAGTCTAAAGGAAAAAAGTCTTCTAATGGCCATTTAATGCTCTCCTAATATATTGATTGAGATGAATAAACATATAGATCCTATATAAATACTAAACCATCTGAAAATATTATGTGAAAGGATGATCATTCTGTAAATAGTTTTAACTTGAGATGAATGAGTGCTTCGAGTGGACTTCTAGGGCATACAGTAAATGCTGATTAACATTACACAAGATGGTTAAACATCTCTATTGCAGTCTGAAACTTCAGGTGAGAGACTTTCAGGTGTGTCCTACGAGTTGTTTCATCTGTCTGCCAGAGAGTAGGCTTTGTGGTGCTGTGATGTTAGTTTACAGCACCCTGCTTCTGCTTAAGTGCAGTGTAGACAGAGGGAGTCAGTAAAATGGGAATATGAGAAACTATAGTCCAGTTCCAAAATTGCATGTTGTCTAGTATAAAGTGCACAGTAACTTAAGCCTCATTTCTTCAATACTAAAAAAAAATAATAAAAAAATAACAGCATTATGGAATACCGTTGTTTTTACAATGCCCTGTGGGTGGTGATGTGACCACTATCCATATATAGTTCTAGGTTTCCAAAACCACTTCTTAACTTGTGGCGTTTTGCAAGAAAGCACAGCTGAGTGTTGTACTTTAAAACTGCAAAGTATGTATGCTGCTTTACCATCTTACATGTGCCTCTTAATAGAAAATTAATGCTAGCTGGACCATTGAAAATTGCATTATTGCTATGAGAAGTACTTGAAACTTGAGTACTTGACTGATTTTGAGCAGAAAAACTTTTTATTTGAAGTTGTTTTCAGTATATTTAATTTAAAAGGGGAGAATATAAGGGGGAATGTTTACATATTCTCTACAACTTTCAGTTTTATTTTTAGTAATGTATACTTTTTGACTGACCTGGATTTTGCATTTCAAATATATTTGTTTTGAATTGTTTCAGATGTCCCTTTACTAATGAGTCTTCTTTGCATTGACAGTATCATAACATCATTTAAAGAAAACCTTAGTCTTGCTTCACTGTAGATAATTTCAACTATCTGTTGTTAAAGGGATGTGAGCAGATGAAGCTCTTGAGTGTTTTTAACACATCCATGTTAGTACAGAACCTGATTTTGTAGTTTATCTTCCCCACACATCCTGGTAGGGGTAAATCAGTCCCCTTAGCATCCTCTTATCCTGGGGCTGCACATTGTTCAGCCTTTAAGAACTACAGAAATGCCTTTGTTCTGCCAGCCAAAAGCTGTAAACATTTACATTTACTTTGTTGATAGTCTGGCCAATCTCTAAATGGAGAGGCTGCTGTGAGGCTGTAGCTGGTATAAGAGATGTGTGATTACCACTGCACTTCAGACTGCCATGTAAGTGCATTCCTTTATCACCTCTTCATCCATACCATACATTATAAATAAATAGAGCATGAGTCAAAGCAAGGAAAGGTAGACTTCAAATGCAGTCTGGAAATGCTTGCTTAGTGACATTTTCCCCAAGTGCTGGGATGTCAGCACTTGACATCCCAGTTCTTAATGTTTTCAGTCCCCTGAGCAGTACTGTACTTTTGTCCAACCAAAATTATTAGATAATGTTCTTCAGGAAGATAATTTCTGAGGAGGCTACTAAAGATGTTTGGACAATTACTCTCCCTTAAAGACTTATTATTACCTTTGTAATACAAAACAGGTAACTGGATCTTGGTCTCTAGCATCACATCAAACAGAAAATTCAATTTAAGAGCAGCAAGTCTGAAAAAGCTTGGTGAGGCAAGTACCTGTATGTATTTTATAGTCCTAAAACATATACCTATTTCTATCTTCATATATACACGTGTACGTACTCATATATACACACCTACAGCTGCACATTTCCATGCACCTTTTTTACATGTTAATTTCCTAATCTAGAATTGTACCAGAATAAATTAAATACAGTTACATTAATGTAGGATGTGAACACAAGTTGCACACTAGAACAGTTTGCTAGCATGTTCATAGGTCCTGTCAGTGGAGAAATTGCAGCTCTTTCAGGTCTGGGAGAAAGGGAAACATGTAAGCCTTCCTATAATTAGTTATTTTAACAACACTATGTTTAATTTTTCTAAAAATACATATGGAAAAGGAAGTCACAATTGGTATGAGCACTAGCAGGCTGTCATCTGTGTGTCCCAGAACACTTCCTCCTGACAACACCAGTGCAGACAAGCCCATGTGTTATTTACCTGTGCTGTAACTCCCAGTATTCTGCAAGCCCTGACAGGTAGTGAAAAAGTGCAATGTGAGAGAATATTAGCTAATATCCCCAAAGTAGAGTTATTCATTTGAGAATCCATTTTTCAGTCAAATTCAGTGCAAAGTGGTAACTCAGATGTGTTGAGAATTAAATTTTTACTAAACTAACTAACAAGCATAAATTATATGCTCATTAAAATTTTACTAAATTTTTACTACTAAAGTAGTAATTTTTACTACTATTTTACTAAATGCTTAAAGTATTTAAAAGCATGGTAAGAATATATATGTATATGTATATATGTATATAAATGTTTTACAGAGTAGTTAGATGTATATGATCTGTATTTTAAATATATCAGCTACTTCTTAAAGTGATTCCTTAGCATCTGTTTTCTTAGATGGGTAAAAAACTTTTTACATTGACACATACTTTAGTATTTTGGAAGTAAGATGTTGAGGATACTTTGGCAGGTCTAGACTGTAAAGTTGTCTAGATTAATTCATTGGAACTACTTAGAGAGTAAATGCTAATCACAGAAAGACTAAAATTCTAGGCCACCAGTATTTGTTGTTTCATCATATTTCTCTTCATTTTGCCTCAAACTGACAAGGCAGCAGAAAAATTGCTCCCGGTCTGCAGGTGAGCTTTAAGCTGTTTCCTCAAGTGGTCAAAAACATATCTTAAGTATGGAAGCCATGAAATAGATTTACTGACAGTGTCTGGTTTCAACAAGTGAGGAATTTTGTGCTATCTTGCCTCTAAATGAGTTGACCAGGGCGCATCTTGTGCATCACACCAAAGCAAACTTACTTCCCAGAGAGTAAGAAGCATGTGACAATGTGCCCTGAGCTGCCAGCAGCGAGTGTCGGGCTCCTGAATTCCCCTTCTGAAGCCTGCAAGTAAGAAACACTCAGAGAGAAGCTTGGACAGAATTCATGCAGCAGCTGGATTGAGGAGATGTGCCAGGCTGTCTTCTGTTCTCCTGGGTCAAGGAGACTTGCAAGCCAGCCTGCTCAGAGCTGCTTTCACCCCCTGCTAATCACGGCTTGGGGGAAGGAGGGCGGCACACGCTCAGTTACTTCCCTGAGAGCCATGAGCAGTGCTGACAGGACAAAAATGCCTGGCAGCTTCTTCTAGGCCAGGAGCCTTTGTGTCTAACATTCTAGCGAGAGCTTGCAACAATCCCCTTCTCCAGAGACCCACAGGAAGAGGTACTTTGGGATGTTTTGTGCAAGCTGAGCAAGGTTTCGGTATCAGGGAACATTGGGCTCAGAGTGATGCTACAGGAAGGGCTGCAGCAGTCAGAACTGCTGTGAAACCAAGCTGGTTTCAAGCTACTGTCCCTGGTAACCAAGATGGAGGAATGAAAACATGATGCAAGGGAGAAAAACTATTCACAGGAGCTCGTTGAATGGGCATGTTCAGGGATGGTGACTCCCCAACTAGTTCAGAGCACCACCAGCACAGCTGTGCCTCCATTTGTCAACGTAACCTGGTTGGTGACCATGCTCACATAACCTCCATAACACAAGACTGAAGAGTACAAAGTCTCCTCCAGAACTCTAGCTCTGGTTTACATCTCGTTGCCACCAGAATAACCAAAGAACTTCTTGAAAGAACACAAACCGTAAAGAAATTCATTATGCATTAGGCATCAGAAGGGGCTGAACAAGAAATGCCTGACAGAGACATGGTTGTGAAGACCTTACCAAGATAAAAGAAACAAACTGGGTGCAAATCTGCCCTGAATAGAGTGCTAACTGGCAGAAAGTTTATAATAACAGTGCAGGTCATTGAGGTGCAGAGCCATTTTCCACAGGAAGTCAGGAGGGCAAGTTCTCGGGTTAAATATTTTTGAAAGAAAACCTGGTTTGACAGCCCTCCTCCAGCTTAGAGACTTACCAAGATCTTTCAAGCCAGTGAAACATCTGTAGTTCACCAGAGTGCTGTTACTCAACTTTTTAAAGCTCATATATGTCTATGAATTAAATAATATAATAATATAATCATAGAACAGTTTGGGTTGGAAGGGACCTTAAAGATCATCTAGTTGCAATTGCCCTGGCATGGGCAGAGATGCCTCCCACTAGAGCAGGTTGCTCCAAAGCCTATCCGCCCTGGCCTTGAGCACTTCCAGGGATGGGGCACTCACAACTTTCTGGGCAACCTTTTCCAGTGTCTCACCACCCTCACACTAAAGTATTTCTTCCTAATATCTAAGGTAATCTACCCTCTTCCAGTTTGAAACCATTACCCTTGTCCTGTCCCTATATGTCCTTGTAAATTGTCTCTTCCCAGCTTTCCTGTAGCCCCTTCAGGTACTGGAAGGCTGCTATAAGTTCTCCTCTTCTCCAGGCTGAACAGCCCCAACTCTCTCAGCCTGTCATCGTAGCAGAGGTGCTCCAGCCCTCTAACAACCTTTGTGGCCCTTCTCTGGACCCTCTCCAACAGGTCTATATCTTTCCTGTGCTGAGGGCTCCAGAACTGGATACAGCACTCCAGGTGGGGCCTCACGAGAACAGAGGGGCAGAATCACCTCCCTTGACCTGCTAGCCACACTTCTTTTGCTGCAGCCCAGGACATTTCAGACTTGGCTTTCTAGGCTGCAAGCACACATTGCCTGCTCATGTTGAGCTCATCCACCAACACCCCTAAATCCTTCTCCTCAGGGCTGTTCTCCACCCAGCCAGTATTTGTTTTTGGGATTGCCGAAATAAAATAGTTATATGCAAAAAAAAAATAATCAACAAACCAAAACAGAAAAGAAAACTAAGACCATTATTCAGCACCACACAGAGCTTCAAGTGTTAGCATTTTTTGAGGCTGTAAGAGGTAGCATGGATAAAAGCTTACATGTAGACAAAGATCAGATCTCAGTGGCTTTACCTGGAATTGCTTCAGGTGTTGCAAAATACTTAGAAGTTATTTAGTGCAAGAAGTTTTTGTGAATACATAAAATCCTTCCCCCCTCTACCCACCCTTCACAGACATTCTGTTTCTTCTTCCCAAGTGGATTTCTCCCAGCATATGACAGTGGTATCTGAGGACAGACTTGTTGGATTTGAGACCTTTATGCAGACAAGTACATTTCTTAATCTCCTTTATGCCTCATGCTTTTGCTGCTCAGCCCTGCCCCTTTACCTCATATTTCCCATCAGGCTCTCCCCTCCTCTAGTGACTGGGGCCTTTTTTCTACACAGCTTTCCTGTTAGAGCCATCAGATCTGCACGAGAGAGCTCACAGCCTGTACTGTACCAAAAAGCCAATTTCATCACATACAAGGAAAGATATTAATAGCAAGAAAAAAAAATAATCATCTGTGCAGCTTGTGGAATTTCAGCATTTCCATTCACATCATGACCTGATTTATCTGACTTACTTGAGAATCCATACATTGAGCTGTTTTCCAGCAGTAATGATTACTGTGAACCTTTTGTAAGCTCCTCCTAATTCCCAACATATTTATTTCCTCTCTCTGCAAGTATCAACCTTTATTTGTAAATCTGGTTCTTTCACTAATGAGCACTACACCTTAAGCATCACAGTAATGCAAATAAAATAATGAGCATCTCAAGGGTCAAAGAAAAACTGTGTATTCTGAACACATTACCCACACTGTGAATAAGGATGGCTTAAATGCTATTCACCCTTCACCTCCAAGGGCAGCAGCAATACTAACGATCAGGCCTATTTTAGGAAGACCCCGGGTACCAGCTACTCTCCAGGTCCCTACAATAGCACCTGGACGAGCCAGGAAAGGTCCATCACAAAAAAAGCTTTTATATCAGAGCAGGAAAAAGTAGCAGTTTAATAACCCTTGTACTTACTGACGAGGCCTCCAGCATTCCAGGATCTCAAACAGTAACTACGCAGCACCCAAGGTACCACCACACAGCAGCAGGCCACCAAAAGGCTGTTTTTCAGTGCTTTTTAAAAAGCTCTGATTTTCCACGCTTGCCTTTCCCCAGCATACATCCCTTCCCTTTCCCCTTGCCCTGGGGTGGGCACGCCATGCTTCAGGCAGCCACTAGAGGCTGCCCCCAGGGCACTCCCCAGCCAGCAGCAGCAGGAGGTGGAATAGGATGGGGTCCTGGGGCTGCTCCTTTCTCACCTGCCACATTTGCACCCACACCCTCACACACTTGCAGGTTAATTTTGTATTGCTTGAGGTTGTCTGAGGTTAAGATTGGTGTTGCTGTGGCAGGTGGGGAGTCAGCACAGGGCATCCTCCATAGCTCTGCAGGCCGAGGAGGGAGCAGGAGGTGGTATTTCAAAGTGAGTAAAACTCCTAAAGTTTTTCCTCTGGAAATAGTGAAAGCCCAGCATCCGTATTTGCCTGAAATGGCTGTGCAGCATAAGAAGGAAGGCCACCACCAAAGGAGGGCTTGCATCCTTCCCTTTCATCCTGCTACAGTGAGAAAGCACAGCCAGGCTGCAGGACCCTTGGCAGAGCCTAAGGACCTCAGGGATCCCTTGCACTGGCTAGTGACCATGGTCCGAGGGTCTCTCGCCAGCTGCTGGGTCCAGTTCATCCCTGCTGTAGGGTGTCAGCTCTCCTCAGGCAGCTGTGTTCCCTTCCTTCGCCCCAGGAAGCTGCTCACAGCAGCTTGCTTTTTATTTAAGCATCTCTAGATTTCAGCCCAGGGTTTATTTATTGAGTTTCTCTGAACTTTTCCTTTCTCCTTCCCTCCTGCCAAAGCCCAGGAATGGTACAAGCCCTGGATGTAAATAGAAAATGCCAATCTTGGGTTTTATAGGTCACTGTAAACTACATGTTTATCTGCTTCCAGAACAGATAAGCCATGGAATGTCACTTCAGGTCAACACAGAAGGATAAGAACTAGAAAGGTGGTTTTGGCTGTAGGTATGAATAAATCAGGATCATGTGAGGGAAGTATATTTCTGTATTTGAACAGCCTTTTTTAATCTTGAAGCTCTCTTCCTTTTCCTCAAAGGATCCATATTCTTCTGGCAGGAAAGTTCTTTTTATCTCCCTGGATTTTCATACTCTGCCCAGCAGCCTATCAGAAGGAAGCACAAATCTACTAACTACTAAAATGAGGGATTATTTCCACTCATCTGTTGACAGACATTTCTCCAAATTGGATCAACTGATTGAAGGTATTAGAATGACGTCTTGCAGATCCAGATCAAATCATTTGAAACCTTGAGACTCTTTCTCCTTTGCTTGGAAGGAACCACCAGAAATAGTTGCAGGTGCTAATTGCCCATTATTCTCACTAATGTGAATTTGTTAATTGGGATCCTTGAATATTTTACTTGCTTGAAGCCTGACCAGAGGAGCTCAAGATGGAAGGACTGTGCAGTGTCTCACTTCCCACCGTGCCCTTTGGGGTCCCTTCCAATGCCTGAATGGTTCTTCCTCGAGTCACTTACGCTGAGAAGAGGGGTCCAGGCTGCAAAATCTTCCAACATCTCACATTACGAAGATGGCAATGCTGAAAGTCAAATTCAATCAGAAGAAACGGGTAAAACTAGCACAGGGACTATGGCTCATGAACTGGTTTTCAGTGTTTGCTGGAATCCTTGTCTTTAGCATGGGATTATTCCTCAAAATTGAACTCCGGAAGCGAAGCGAAGTGATGGACAATTCTGAAAGCCACTTTGTGCCCAATTCTTTGATAGTGATGGGTATATTATCCTGCGCCTTCAATGGTTTTGCTGGCAAAATTTGTCACGATTCTCTGGATCCCACTAAGTTTGCCAAGTGGAAGCCTTTGCTGAAACCTTACATGGCACTGTGCTGCTTCTTCAACATCCTGATTTTCTTGGTTGCTCTGATCTGCTTTCTCATGCGGGGCTCCCTGGACAGCACGCTGGCCCAGGGGCTCAAGAACGGCATGAAGTTCTACCGGGACACAGACACCCCTGGAAGGTGCTTCATGAAGAAGACCATCGACATGCTCCAGATCGAGTTCAAGTGCTGTGGGAACAACGGCTTCAGAGATTGGTTTGAAATTCAGTGGATCAGCAACAGATATCTGGACTTCAGCTCCAAGGAAGTGAAAGAGTAAGTGACTTAGTGGGGTTTGTATTGCATAGTATCGTTATTTGATCAGTAATACACTAAACAGGCCCTGGCTGGAGAGGGTTTTGTACAAAATTATGGTTTTTTTTTCTCTGCTCGTGTTTAGTAAGCAACCTAAATTACTAGCTAGATTGCTTCCTCCCCTGACAAATTCCTCTAACGTTGTCCAGGCCATCAAATATAAAACACCAAAATATAATTCTTACCCTTACTCAGTGCAATATAAACAGACTTAAAATAATATTTTTACTGTCTTTTACCTCATTATAAACTCATTACATTGAGCCACACATACCTACTCTCAAAATAAACAGAAAATTATTCCCTAAAGCCGATTTCAACGCAACTTACTAAGTTCCTAAAAAAAAAGACTTCCCTGGATATGTACTGTTGTTACCACTCTTAAAACTCCACTTTACATACTGGCAATTGATCAGTCTCATGGAAATAAATAGGAACAGTATTGCTTCTTAAATAACTCATATGTCTTAAGATTTAGAATTGTATTTTTCTGTTCACTCAATGTATTGCTTCAGCACTATGACAATATTGAGAGTCAACCCTCGTTGACATTCCTAGCTTTACACAGTGTCCCTTGTAGCCAGACACATTTTAAGTTCTTTCGTGTACAAAAATATGTTCAATACACATACTTGTGCCTAAATTTTTACACCTGACATAAAACCAGCACTGGTTTCCTCTGTACAAACCAGAACAGTTTGTTGACCAGAAAAAACCTTCCTGGCTCTGATGTCAGTGCCCAAAGAGGCAGTAATCTCAAAATCAGGTTAGGTGCCGTAAGCACAAGTAAAAAATAAACACAAGAACAAATGAACTCTTGAAATTAAAAAATGAGCACTCAGCATAAATACCCACAACCTTTTAAAAATTAAGCATCAAGGGAAAAGGTCTTTATACAGAATTCTTTTGGAACATTATTCATTAATGTTCATGCTCTGGTTGCACAAATGGTCTTGTAAACTGGAAGCAATCTGTCCTTTAAATATACTGCCTATGTTAAAAATGTCTGAAGTAGTTTTGAAAAAAGCTTTGTGTATGTCTTGGGATCCCTGCCTGACTGTGCAAATGGTATTTCACTTGTGTGTCTCTCTGCGTATTTTTTTTACTTTTTGGGTGGTCTGATTGCTTTTGCAGTTCTGAACTAGGACTTTACAGTGAAAACTGTTACAGGCTTAACCTATTGCACTGCACGACTGTAACAAATACATTTTCTACTTAATAAGGGAGTATTTGCATTGCCAAGGTATGCCCATGGGTATAAATAACTACTTGAAACCATAGTAAGTTCACCTTGCTAGCATTATATGGAGATTTGAGAGCTGTAACTTAATCCAGCAGCAGTGGAAGGGCATAGCACAGCAGGAAAACAAGGTTATATTGTCCTTAATAAATGATGCCTTCTTTGGCACCAAGACTCATAGCAATTTCTTTATACTACTGAGGCAGGAAATAGGGCATTCAAAATCCATAAATGGATGTTAATGAGTGAATTAAAGGTTTGAACTATGTGGTGGTGCACTATCTCTGTTCACATTCCTGGTGGGATATTCTTGACTCTTTGAAGTCAATAGCAAAGTTCTCCTTAATTCCAGGAAGGGTCAGAGTCCATCCCCTGCCATGTGATTTTTCTATTATTTGTAGAGTGAAGAGCTGATCCAATCCCTCTGAAACTGGCAGAGCATTTGCACATCAACTGGAATTAGGCCCAACTCGGAATACACTTTACATCTAGAGATAGAGCCTCAAATGCATTTGATACTTATTATATTTAACTTATGACTGCAAAGTGGAATTTTGCTTCCCCAGGCTGCTGCAATCACCTAACTTTAAAATATCCGAATAGAGAGCTGCAAGAGACTCCAATTTTTTTCTGCTTTCTAGACCACTGGGATTCTCCCTTCTGTCATTTTCTAAGCAAAATGGCATTTGTGGGAGTTGCAGTCCTCTTACTGTAGTCTTCTTTTGCAGTGTCAGTGGAACTGTTTGTCTTCTAAGTGTCTCTCAATCTAAACATCTCAGAAGACACCAGACTAAATGGCTGTTTATGGAGAGCAACCACAGTCTCAAATAAGCAATAGTTGGGGACCTCCTGCTGGGACTTCAGAAATTTTTCAACAACCTTTTGCAGAAGCATTTTAAATACTGGCTACCTTCCCCAAGCCAAGAATAAATGCATAACCCCTGCCTGGAGCTATTATAATCAACAAGAAGCTATTAGGTTTGCTGGATCAACAGTCTAGCTGGATATGATGGGTCCTAAGGTGGTTGTGGGTCCTTTTCCAAGCTCAGGTCACCTCCAGTGGTCCTTTCTGCTATGACTATGTTGTGGTAACTCTTTTTCTGACTTCCCCTCCTGAAATTTCTCTCTGTCATTTACTTTTCGTAAAAATTAATATCTTTGTGACCTGAGAGGGCGTGTTTCCATCATGAAGAGTTAATTATAGTCTCAGTGTAGCCTTGACATAGAAAAGGATTTCAGAGAGGAAAAACACTGAGGACGAACACCACTAAATGAAGAGGGAATACAGAGAGATGGCAGTGTCAGGATGCATGGTGGAAAATCTGCATTGCCTTTGCTTTCCTTCTTCATGCAACTTTGCTCTGATATAGCTTTATACGTGTGTGTGTGTACTCATGCTTCCTTCTGCCCTTGCTCATAGTCGGATCAAAAGCAACGTGGACGGGAGGTACTTGGTGGATGGTGTCCCTTTCAGCTGCTGCAACCCCAGCTCCCCGAGACCCTGTATCCAGTACCAGGTCACCAACAACTCAGCTCACTACAGCTACGACTACCAAACCGAGGAGCTCAACCTCTGGCTCCGGGGCTGCCGGGAAGCCCTCCTGCACTACTACAGCAGCATGATGAGCTCCATGGGTGCCGTTGTCCTTCTTGTCTGGCTTTTTGAGGTAACCCTCTCCCCCCCCTTGCCCTGCTTTGCTCAAGTGCCAGCTCTGGAGGAGCAGGGTGTTCATCAGCTCAGACTTTGAAGTTTAAGTTCAGATCTAATTGAAATAGGTCATCTGCCCACGTTCTTTGGCTGTGAAAACATCTAATTGTGAATATCTGAGTAAGGCCTGAGTGGTTCCAGGCTGGAGGCACGGCTGGGAAACATGAAGGGGGTTAGATTACAGACCCCCCCCTTCAAAGCAAGGGGCCAAAGTCTCAAGTATCCCACAGCAAGAGGGAACAAGGGACCAATGCAGGGTGCTGAGCAGAGAACAGCTTGGGACAGCTCAGGTGTCCAGATGCATTAATTTTCTATGTGTCACCATTAGTGAGGAATGAAAAGCACACAAAGCAGTGCATTAGAAAGAGTCAGCAACAATTTGTGGAACAAAAAATGCAATTAAGGGGTTTCTGTGCTGATGAAAATGAGACCTAGAGCTATGCGCAGTGTCCAGCTTCAGGGCAGCATTTGGATTAAATGCTTCATCAGCTCCTTTAATGGTTTTGGTCCCAAAAAGTGGTTTAGGTGAAGCAGACACATTAGTTTTCTTCTATTCTGCTTCCCCAAACTACCATGTGTGCACAAACAGCTGCCAGTTGTGCCCAAGTGCAGGCATTTGTGGGCACCAGAACCCGGAGCGCAGCTTTGCTGCTAAGATACAGTTCATTTGATGCGAGGAGAACGTGTCCTTCTGCCCCTGGGAGATGGCTGGCTTTCCAGCCAGGGCATTTAGTCACTACTAATAGGGAGGGAGCGTGGGCTGGCAGCGGCACGGGGGCCGGCGCGTGTGGAGAGGCAGGACTGGGTGGGATGGCAAACAGGGAGGGTGCAGCTCACTGTGCAGCACTGAGTGTGGCAGATCCTTCCTAACCCCTGAAATGCTGCTGAAAAAATGGTGATGCCTCTTTTTAGTGATTCAGCCAGGTTTTTTTAAATTTAAAGAAATGTAAATTAAAGTTTAAAAAAACAAAACAAAATGTTGTATTTTGGTACGAGTACTGGCCAACGTCCTTCCAGGAATGAAGTCAGTGTTTAGAAAATAAACACCTACTCTATTAATCTGTGAACAGAAAAAAAATATCATGAAGTTACTTCATGCTGTGTTATTTTAAAGATACTCCTTGTACTACCGGTACTACCTCCTTGTAGCACTGTTATTCTGGTGAGAAAAGAAAGAAAAGCTCATGTCTCAGCCCAAATTCAAATGAGGAGTTCTTGAAGAGAGGGGAATTTCAGTTGTAAATAAAAATCAGAAGGAAATGCAAGATCTCGTGGGAAAATGCACAGAAATACTAATGTTACTTGTGAAAAATCATGACTAAGAATCTGTAACACACCTCTGCTGACTTGTAGGAGATTAATGACAATGACACGTTAATATTAATAGCAGCGATAAAAATACGGTATTTTGTTTCTAACTCTTCACAGTACACCCAGCTAATACTTTCCATCTGTGGTGTAATGAGAAATAAGACCTTATCATTTTTTTCCTTCATCTTTTTTAAAAGAAAAGGTGAGATTTTTCTCAGGTAATCAGAGGACTCTCAGGGCTAAAGCTTTAAAGAAATTGCTACACCAGGGCAGGATTAGGCTGGACATTAGGAAATTTTTTTCTCTGACAGGGTTTTTAGGCATTAGAACAGGCTGCCCAGGAAGGTGGTTTTGTTTACACATCATCCCTGGATGTGTTTTCAAGTTGTAGAGATGTGTTGCTTGGGGGTAAAGTTTAAGGGTGAACACGCTAGGGTAGAGTTAAAGGTTGGACTTGATGATCTTAAAGGTCTTTTCCAACCTAAATTATTCTATGAATTGGGTTATATTAATCTGCTCTCCTGAATATTTATGATTTGCCTGTTATTCTACCATTAAAGGGTCCAGATTTGGGTCTCAAACTCCCTCTGCATTTAAGACAAACTTTGAAGGGAGGAAGCAAAGCAGGAAGCAGACATTACTCTAGCCTCCCTTGAGATATAACCACTTTCTTTCAATTGCAGTCAGGGTAGGAAACAATTTATTCTGAGTAGGAAAATAGCAGAGGTCCCGACTCCTGGTATTGACCTGTGGGAAGTGGGACAGAGCCCAGAGGGAAACACTAATCGCAGCTGTTACTTTGAGCTGTAGAAAAGGTAACGTGTCAAATGGGTGTAGGGACCTCAGGGAAGACCATTTAAGTTTAGGGTTTGTGTATTAGGTGCAAGGAAGAATGAAATTTTGAAGCAGTAAAACTTCTATTGGGAAAAAAAAATGCAGCACGTTGTATTTTCTGGAATTGTGTTATTATTGTGCACATGATACATTTACTAGCAAAAGCTGTAGGCTTCCCAGGAGTGACAACCCATCATGAGGATGACAAAAAAAGATCACACCCTGCTCTAGCTAAGCCGCCTCAGGCTAAACCCTTGCAAACAGATGGGCCTCACTGCAGAAGGTCAAGCAGAGCAAGCCTAGATGTCATCTTGACCTGCCCAAGATAGCGAAGAGGAAATGGGGGGTTAAACGGTGCCCTGAACAGGGCATTTCAGAAGGAAAGAGGGTCAGCAGCTGGTTCCTGGGATGCTCCAGGTCCTTCACCTGTATAAACATGTAGGCCACAGCTACTGCAATGGCTGAGACCCTGAGATTCATCTCACATGTGGTTCCACAGAGAGAGCCCAGCACTGAGCACCACGAGGTGGGAACCCAAGAGAGCAATGAGACATGAGCAGGAGGTGCATTGCACATCATGTACTGGGGAGTAAACTCTCAGATGCATTCAACACTAGGAGTGAACTTCTGATAACCTTTAAACCAGTCCACAGGCAACAGGTGAACTAGCACCCTCCAGAAGGACACAGTTTGCTCTCCTGGTGCAGATCAAGGGGCTGAGATTGCTGTGGCGCAGGGGAATTTTCACCAGCCCAGCCTGGCTAAACCCACCCAGCCCTGGAGAAACCCTGTGGCCTTGTTCTTTCTGCCACTTTACAGTTGCTGTAAAATTACAAGGGTTTTCATGACAGTTTGTCTATTGGGCAGGGGTAATAATCACCCAGTGAGACTGGGCTAGCTTTGGGACTTCGATGCCCAGGTCTTTGCTGCTGAATTTTGATTAAGCACAGGTCTATGACCAAGAGACACAAACTGGTTGAGGTTAGAAGGGACTCTGGAGGTCATCTAATCCAACCCTTCCTGCCCAAGTGGGGTCACATGGAGTAATTTGACAAATAATTGTCTTTAACTTTCTGAACTGTCTTCTCATCCAGCAGAGAAGGCAGGCTTAGGTCAGGGGAGGAGAGCCCAAATATTTTGTACTGCTTTTAGCAAATCTCAACCCGTGACCCAAAACCTTTCTGATCAAGTTATTTAAGAAAATTAAGTATTCAACAGAGAGAAGATGTCACAGAATCTCATTCGAGGGCACATCATCTGCTCCCTTCTGCACATGCATCTTCCTATGTAAAAGCATAATCATATTTAGTGCCTTAAGAGCCATCCAGGAAGCCTGTAAGTACAGCTAATTTTGTTGTCAAATAGTGGGACCTAGTAATGCAGTCACCAAAAAAAGATGCTGCTGACACACAGTGTGGGGGTACAAGCAGAGGGCAACACTGGGGCCATCTTTTGTATCCAGTCTTACTAATCCTTATGTGCAGCAGACAGTAATAGGAAAGATATTAGCCCCATGACTGAAAGCAGCGAATCAGGGGCTCAGGTTGAAAGGAAAATGTCCAAAGCTTTATATCCCAAGATTAGTATGATGGAAAGGTCACTTATTGTGACTTTTATAGGATATTGTTTTGACTTAATTCATCATAGTATTGGGTAGCTCCACAACAAAATGACACAATTTCCAGATGCAGGGCCATTAGAACCTTCTTTGAGCACCAAAGTGGTGCAAGTCATGTATTCTTATGGTGAAGAGGATGAAAATTTGCCTTTGGATATGGAATTATTTGATGAAGCTTGTTTGTTTGACCTATGTTTTTCCCTTTCTGGTCTTGAGTGAAGGCATCAACATCTGAAAATGTTGAGCGTAACACATGGTTACTCTTTAGTCTTCCAAGAATTTGAAGACACTGTTCATACACAAGCAGGATGGCCAGGGAAGACAGGCTAATGAATGGACCACAGAAGCTCATGTCTGAGCAGTCCCATGAGTCCAAAAAATAGATGTGAATTTTGCAACTGGCCACACTATGTGGTTGAATCTCAACTTCCAATCTGCCCAGCTGCCCAATGCTGTAATCCTGCAGAACGGTTTGCAAGCTTCCTCCACCTCAACCACTCCAACAGCAAACAGCACCTCTCAGGACTGGGGCAGCTTTCCATGGGCCTCAGAGGTGCCATCAAGTAAGCAACACACAGGGGTGCCTACCTGATTAACCATTAGGGTTTAGGAAAACCAGAGATAATCACTTCCATGGGAATTTGGATAGGGTAACAGAGGCATCATACTTGCCTTACAGAACAAATCCTACGAGGTCATGAACAGCAATAAGTAGTCTTGATCTTAGTTTTACCTCGCACACAAAAGACTAAACTAGTCTTTTGCTCCCTTGTCCTGGCCACCTACTCTTCCCCCTCATCAAGCTGGCTCTTCTGGGTGCTGCCATTTCTTTCTTTCTCTGCTTCACGGATCAATCCCTTTTCTTCATAAGCACCACAATGGTGGAAGTTAGATTGTTGTGGATGCTGTCAGAAGGCAGGAGACTGGCTGAAAACAGCCTGGAGACAGGCTTGGGGTGTTGCTGGTGTCAGGGTGACACACTGACATAGAACAGCAGAAGAAGTCTCAGTCAGGGCTGCTGGGGCTTGTAAGGATTTAGTCAGAAATATAAATTTGTTTTAGATGGAACCAGCAAGACACACAGATCACCTCCTGCCTTGGTTGCCTTATTTGCACATACCTATATGAAAACAAGACCAGAATTTGAAGCAGAAAAACTGATGGCTCAAATCCTAATGCTGCTCTTTTTGGCACAGATGCTGATTCATTAATATATCCTTGATCAGATTGATATATTTGCCAAACATATAAACATGCAGTAAAAATGCTTAGAGTTAAAATGAAGTGGATCAAGGCAGAGCACCTTGTTGCACATACCACCAACTTTACGTAGAGCTACTGCACAGGAGCAAAGATTTCATTAAAATCTCTCTCAGGAGATGTCTACTCCTTGGGGGGTTCATGGAAAGCACCTTCTGGACATGGCCACACAGAGCTGCTGTTTCCTTCATGAATTGATGCATGACCCATTGCTTACCGACTGTCAGACTCCCCAAGGCACCTGCTGATCTCAGTCCTCCACCCTCTCCGTTCCTACTTGTGATGGAGCATTTCCCTCCTGCCAGCTCTCCAGGATCTCCTCCCTGGCAGAGGATTTCTGCAGCCCTTTAGCTGCATCCGTTTGGTGCCCTTAGCATTTTGTTCACGCTGTCAGCCCGGCAGAGGGTGGCAAAGATGTGGACAAGGGTATGAAGGTTTGCCTGATGCTCTCTGTCTTTTCCGTTGCTCGGTGCAGATATCAGTGATGGTCGGCTTGCGGCTCCTGCACACCTCTCTGGAGAGCATTGCAAACCCTGAAGACCCTGAGTGCGAAAGCGAAGGCTGGATCCTGGAGAACAGCCTGAAGGACACTTTGAAGTCCGCGCTGGAGAGTTTGAAAAAGATTGGTAAGTTCAATCAGGTGGAAGCAGACGCCGAAGGGGCCGGAGGAGAGGAAGGTGGGAAGACACAAACCGTCGCAACAGTCAGTTGAGCTTCTAATCGATGCGGACTTTTTTATCAGAGAGGAAGAAAAAAAAACTGAGAATTGTGAATATCTGAGTTTTAAAAGCTATGTATCAACCATCAGAATACACATTTCTACTCATGCTTTTTTTTTTGTATGTGGGAGTATACAATGTAAGTGCACCCTGGGATAATTCCATTATCCACAGTGTGAGTATGACATATTCATAACTTTTGGGGAAACGACCCCACTAGGACTTGTGTTCCCTTATCAGGGACAGTTAGTTTATTTTAAAAAATATATATAAATAAAATTTTTAAAAAATTTAAATTGCTGGCATCACGCAGTGATCCATACCATCTTATTTTGAAATTAAAATTGAATTTGAAAAGTTAATTTCATTTTTTTTGCTCAAGTTGTTTTACCTGCGTACTTCATGTACCTCAGCTTTTAAAGACAAACATTGGTTTTCTGGGGAATAACATGCTAGAAGTCAAAGAAAGAAGGATTTCCAGAATTGTATATAACTTAGTATACAGGTGTTTTGACAAACCTCTCATATCATGTGTTTTTTGTTTATGTGCTAAGCAATGGTGTTATCTGCTGTATTCTTAAGATGTACATAGAACAAAACGCACTTATGCTGAGAATTTACATACTAAGCAAAACTTGTAACAAAGCAGCACGAGTATAATGAAAACAACACTAAGGTAAGATTGGGGTTTGTTTCTTGGGGTGGTATTGTCAAGTCAGTATATCCTGAACGAGTGTATCGTAGAGTTCTGCTTCACCTTGTATTTAAACAAGCAGAAGCTCAGAAGATACCTCTCATAGTAGCTGGCATCAGTGCTATTTAGAACTAACACTTAAAATGTTTTCCAGGGTCCTAGCAAATGGATACCATTCATCTGCAAGTACTTCAAGCCTCAAACTCTGAGGCTGGGGAAAAGTAAGTTTAAATCAGGCCCTAGTGTGCAAGTTTTTCTAAGTTTTATTTTTCCTTATCAGTGATGGGGTACCCTTCATTATGTGTCTAAGTCAAAAAGAAAGCACATTTTGCATATGCTGCATCTCTCCAAACATAGCTGGAAGACCCTGTTCTCACACACAAAGTTGGAATAAAACATGGAAAGAGTTTGCTGTGGTTCATGGCCTAAGGGTACAGAGCATCATCGTGAGTTTATCTGCAGCTGCCAGGTATATTCAGCTACAGGGGAAGAAACCCAAGAGAGCAAATCCCAACCCTACCTCCACAAACAATTGCAGACATCTCAGTCCCTCAGCTAGGAGTCAGACACCACACCTATTTTTACCCTGGCTGTGCAAAACCTCTGCTTCTCTTCGGTGCGCCTGGGAGTTTTCTCAGCAGGTTCCTCCCACCTTGCTTTCAAACAAAGTGATGTCTGCAGCTGCCATTGCACAGCCTGTGAGTTTTCATTCTCAATTACTTGAGCACTTGCCCCAGCAGCACTCACCACCCCCAGCTTTTGTTCAAACTCCTCTTAGGATGGACAGAGAGACCAGTCCACAGCAGGACAAGCAGGGACGTGCCCATACATCAAGCTGTTGTCTGCACCTCAGTGGCCAGGCTGTTTCAGGACATCTGCACACCAGGGTTGATTTGGATAGGTTTTTGTGGCATCCTTGCACTTTCCCAAAGCTGGTCAAAGCTTTTAACTTTAGTTACAATAATGATTTTAGCTACAGTAATGAATTGAAAAGTCAACTCTGTACTTTTGTGCATATGACTGGCTAGAACAAGAGCACTAAAGTAAAATCTTGGTAACCCAAGATATGAATACAGGCTGGAGAAGGTCACGCTTGAGAGCAGCCCTGTGGAAAAGGACCTGGGGGTACTAGTGGGTCAAAAGCTGGACATGAGCCACCAATGTGCAGTTGCAGCCCAGGAGGCCAACTTCATCCTGGGCTGTATCAAAAGAAGTGTGGCCAGGAGATCACGAGAGGTGCTTCTGCCCCTCTGCTCTGCCCTGGTGAGACCTCACCAAGAATACTGCATCCAGCTCTGGAGCCCCCAACACAAGAAAGATGTGGACCTGTTGGAACGTGTCCAGAGAAGAGCCACAATAAAGGGCCACGAGGGCTGGAGCAGCTCTCCTATGAGGACAGGCTTAGGGAATTGGGGTTGTTCATTCTGAAAAAGAGAAGGCTCCAGGGGGACCTCATAGTGGCCTTCCAGTACCTGAAGGGGCTGCAGGAAAGCTGGGGAGGGTCTTTTTACAGGAGCTTGCAGTGAGAAGATGAGGGGTAATGGTTTTAAGCTAAAAGAAGAGAGATTTAGGTTAGAGATCAGGTGTAAATTCTTCAGTGTAAGGGTGGTGAGACACTGGAACAGGCTGCTCAGAGATGTTGTGGGGGCTCCATCCCTGGAAGTGTTCAAGGGCAGGTTGGATGGGGCTCTGAGCAGCCTGTTCTAGTGGGAGCCCACGCAGGGGAGATGGAACTCGATCTTAAAGGTCCCTTCCAACTCAAAAAATTCTGTGATTCTGAAAAGCCAACTTCCTATTCACCACAGCCTATCATCTCTTGCTTTGCTGAGGGACACTGCATGGCAGAACCGTACAAACCAGACCAACTCCTTCCTTCTCAGTAAGACATTGCTTCAGCCAGCAGCTCCTCCCAGCTGGCCTGCTGGAGAAGAGCAGGGTAGGAGATGGTGCACGATGTGGCCACATGTATCAGAGAAGAGCATTTCAGAGGAGTCACATACGAATAGGAACTGCATTACAGGGATCAACTACAGTTTTTCCTTGTGAGGCTTCAGTGTGCTGTGATCTATACTGGTTACTTCACTAGACACCTGAGTTTTCAAAGAGATCTAGATTTACTGCTGCCCTAGAAACATGGCTTAGGCCGTTGCTTTAGACAGGACTCTCCAATTATTTGTGGGCTCTATTTTATTTTCAGTCTATTGCTATAGCAACACAACAAATCATCAAATTATTCTTTTAACGCCACATTGGAGAAGCCAGATCCTAAAGCAAGGGTCTCATGGTATTAGGCAGGTAGAAAGACCACCTGATTTATGAAGCAAAGTACTGGAATCAGGGTTTCATGCAAATAAGATCATGTAGTTTGTATGTTAATGCTGTCTGAAATAAAGCCTCCTGGTTAATGAAGATCTATGTAACATCTTATGACTACTACCAGATTGTAACATGACTGCTTTGTAAAATACTGCATGTAATATATAATTTGTCCAATCTTAAATATACTTTCTTGTGACCTCGCAACTGCTGTTCTAGATAAAGATATCTCTGCTGCCTGCAAATGTAAATGTAGGTATTATGTAGATATTAAAAATTATATTGATAGTAAAGATCTCTTAAAAAAAAAAAGTTTAAATATATATAATTTAATACAGATTTATTTAATTTACATTTTTGCTTCTGAATTCATTTTTTTTGGACCCATTTTATGCGTTCCTATGGTTGGGAAGCTTTCGTCTCCTCTCTGTAATGCTCTGAGAGAAAGCAAACCTTTCTCTTCTCATGTGCCCAGCTAAGCTCAGGATGTGCTAACAGACCCTCACATCACTCGCCTCTTACTAGGAAGAGAATTTGCTGGACCATTTTAATAGCATCCTCTTGCAGTACCTAGGAATTACGACATCTTCATGGACCTTAGCTTCTACGTGTGCTCAACAAGTGAAACCACCAGCATCCTCAGGTTCTTTGATGATCAGCCAAACTGTGCCTATAACCTTCCACCCCACCCCCATTTAAATCTAACTTGCAACACACAGCATTGTTGCTATTTCAAGTTCATGGCTAAAGCTCATGTAGCCAAATCTGCCTGCAGCAATCCAACAACTTCCAAAGCTGTGCCCTGATTTTCAAACTAATAAACTTCAGAAGGATGTGAACTTAATTCATACAAAACCAGGCCACTTCTTTTTAGGTACCTCTATATGGATCATGGCCTTAAAACCAAATATCCCATCTGAGAGCCAGCCCAAGGCCTCAAAGTGCCAACTTTTAAGAAATATTATTTGCATTTGAAAATAATTTACCAAAAGTGCACTATTTTACAGGTGACATTTACTTGAAGGGACACAGAACGTTCACTTAAGTGCTTTAAAGGAGGAAATATAAACAGCTTCCTTAAAGCTATTAGTTCCTAAGTAGCCTTAATACAATTGATAAGATTAGCCTCCCTGCATTACATGAGCTTGGACATTTTGTAATACCAGCCAAATGCAAGTGTGCAGCTTAGCAAAGAGCACAGGAATGCTATATTGGGCTCAGAGGCACTGTGTACTTCCAGCTAATGGTCAGGGAAGATTTTCAAAGCTGATGCAAAGAAAAAGGGACTCCACTAAAACAGTTACTTATTTTCACCCAACTTGTTTGTTTCATAAGAAAGTCAAACACTGCTCATAACATAATCAATGTAAAATGGGGACAGATCACACATGCTTATTAAAAAAAAAAGAAAATAAAGAGCATTATTAGAGATTAGTTAATTAAGAGATAAGGCCAGAAAAATAGAATGGTACCATGTGGTAACAGTCCCCTGCTGGGAGCTGAAGGCTTAGGCACATTTATTTTTGGTAACAGGAATGCAGCTATGTCAACAAAATCTGAAGCAGTTCGTATATGAAACCTTTTCTTCTTTAATTATATCAGAGCTATAGTGTTCACTGACTGCCTGAAACACTGAAGTAACAAAACACCTCTCTCAAAGCACCTGTGATTGCTGACCCCATGTCATTTTACAGGTATTACTGAATTTTGGTCCAAAGCACATTTGTGAGGTGGGAAAGCTGGTGGAAACTGTGGCGTGGAGCTCAGCTTTGTGGGCACAAACTCTGTAGCACCCTTCCTCGAGGAATACAGCCCTGTTTTGCAGCCTCCCCCTCACATGCGATGCCGGAGATAGGGCTAAGCAGGGCTCCCACCTCCCATCCCACTGGCACCTTCTAAAGCAATGCACACAGAACGATTCTTCCTAAATTAACCTGTTTCTACCAAAATAGAAGGCTAGGCCATAAGTATGAGTCAACTGTG